TATCTCGCTTTATTGGCTGAGGGAGCCGGCGTACAGCTTCCGGGTCATGTGGCCCAGCATGACTAAGCCGCTTCTGGAGAACCAGAGCAGTGCACCGGAATCGCCGTTTACCTTCCCGCTGGAGCGGTACCTATTTATCTACTTGCACTTTGATGAGCTTTCGAACTGCTAGGTTGGCAAGGAGACAGGGACTGAGCAACGGGAGCTCACCCGTTGCGGGGATTGAACCGCCAACCTTCTGAACAGCAAGTTCTTAGGCTCTGTTAGTTTAACCCACAGTGCCACCTGCGTCCCATCAAAGACTAAGGCTTACCTAATGCCTCAACTGCCAAAATTTTGCAAAACCAAAAGACAGAGCCATTAGTCCAGCAGACAAATTCCTACAAAGACCTACATTGGTTCCCAAGTACGCTTCCAAGCACAATTCAAAGTGTTGGTGCTGACCTTTAAAGCCCTAAACCGGCCTTAGCCCAGTATACCTGAAGAGCGTCTCCACCACCATCGTTCAGCCCGGACACTGAGGTCCAGCTCCGAGGGCCTTCTGGCGGTTCCCTCACTGCGAGAGTGAGGTGACATGGAACCAGGCAGAGGGCCTTCTCGGCAGTGGCACCCTCCCTGTGGAACGCCCTCCAATCAGATGTCAAGGAAATAAACAACTCTTTGACTTTTGGAAGACATCTGAAGGCAGCCCTGTTTAGGGAAGTTTTAAATGTTTGATGTTTTATCCCTTTTTATTCTTGGGAGCCGCCCTGAGTGGCTGGGGAAACCCAGCCAGATGTGGTATAAATAATAATAATAATAATAATAATAATTATTATTATTATTATTATTATTATTATTATTATTATTATTATTCAGGAGAAGTATGCATTGTGTGTGAGGCTTCAGAAGACAATCTAGAAGTCAGCCCCAAAGCTTTCAGCTCTGATCTGGGACCTGGCAGCTGCAGTCTGGTGATCTCTCACTCCCTCTCCTGTGTATCTTTGGTAAAGTTGAAAGTAACAGCACTTTGACAGTTGCGTGATATTGTTGTAAACAGAACCTGCCCTTACGTATCCATAGATACTATTCCAGCTGCTGGTGCAAATCTGCATTCCCCCAGTCTCAGGATTGCCAAAGTGTTTCAAGGAGGAAGTCTAAAATTCCTACCCACTGGCTCTCTCATGCAACATCCTGTTTTAGACTTAACTGGCTGGCACTACACATTCCACAAACTGGGGCTGATTCAAGTATGTGAAGTATCTTGTTATTCCTGCAGCCATCCCATGTGTATTTTGGCTTTCTGAAGTGCTGGTCTCTATGACGAGGTAAACATCAGGCTCCAAGCTTAAGTGATGAGAGGGGGAAATGGTCTATTTACAGACTTTCCTGGTAAGTAATATCTTTAGACTATGCCCACCAGATTCCATCTTTCCATATGTTGTGGAAATATTCTAGCACGTTTTATGCACGTGTGACTATAGAAAGCCTTTTTATGGTTAGTCCTGTGGGATTTTCACCTTTTTTTCAATAGGGCCTGCCGAGGCTCCTGGAAGTCAGCGAGAAACAATCATTGAAAACGTAAGCCGAGAGCAAGAACTGCCCAGCTCTAGCAAGAGGAATAAATTGCTGACTCACTGACAAGACTCATTGTGTGAGCTGCTGTTATTACACACTGTTCTTTGTGGAGGGTACAAACCTAGAAGCAAGGAAGAAGAAGAAGAAGAAGAAGAAGAAGAAGAAGAGTTTGGATTTGATATCCCGCCTTTCACTCCCCTTCAGGAGTCTCAAAGCGGCTAACAATCTCCTTTCCCTTCCTCCCCCACAACAAACACTCTGTGAGGTGAGTGGGGCTGAGAGACTTCAAAGAAGTGTGACTGGCCCAAGGTCACCCAGCAGCTGCATGTGGAGGAGTGGAGACGCGAACCCGGTTACCCAGATTACGTGACTACCGCTCTTAACCACTACACCACACTGGCTCTCGAGAGAGATAACCCAGCCAGTTTCCTTGTAGACAGGATTTTTAAGATCATGGGCTGAACAGCTCTTGAACATTGTTCAGTCCGTAAACTGCTGCAGAATAAAATAATTCAGTTTCCTAGATTTTAATGCTGAAGTAGTACAGGACAAATGCCATTCCTGCAAAAGGATATCTCTTCAAAGCGCTGGTTTTTACTTACAAAGCCTTAAATGGCTAAGGACCACGATGTCTCTCCCCATATGAACCAACGCCAACCCTTCAATCACCACTCTGAGGTCTTTCTTTGTGTGCCTCCTCCACAAGTGATCCGAAGGGTGGCAACATAAGAATGAACCTTTTCTGCACCTTCATTACACATCTTTAGGCATCAGGCAAAAACCTTCCTCTAAGGTTGCCATATGTCCTCTTTTTCCAGGATACGTCCTCTTTTGAATGGGTATGTAAAATCAGAGCCATCATAGTGATCCCCAGTTAAAAGTAAAAGGTAAAGGTAAAGGGACCCCTGACTGTTAGGTCCAGTTGCGGACAACTCTGGGGTTGCTGCGCTCACCTCGCTTTACTGGCCGAGGGAGCCAGCATTTGTCTGCAGACATCTTCTGGGTCATGTGGCCAGCATGACTAAGCCGCTTCTGGCGAACCAGAGCAGCGCACAGAAACGCCGTTTACCTTCCTGACGGAGTGGTACCAATTTATTTACTTGGACTTTGACGCGTTTTCAAACTGCTAGGTTGGCAGGAGCAGGGAGCAAGCAACAGGAGCTCACCCCATTGCGTGGATTCGAACCACCGACATTCTGATCGGCAAGCCCTAGGCTCTGTGGTTTAACCCACAACGCCACCCGTTTCCCTATCTAGTTAAAAGTAAAACTCAGCAGATATGTCTTCTTTCTTGCTCTTCAAAATATGGCAACCCTACTATAACCAGGCCTTCAACCTTTAACTAACTGTGGCATTTTTATTAAAGAACCACTGTGAAGAGTTTCTGCACTAGGTAGGGGAATTAGGAGGAATACGGTGAACTTGTAAGTTAACATATGAACAACCTTCACCCTTAAGATGCTTTTCAAGACCTTCTCATTTCTGTTATTCCAGATCTGGAAACAGGCGAGGAGGGGCAGAAATGAGTTGGCAGTGGATTATCTACTGACACTATCTATTGAACTTATTTTACATAGGAAACTAGCGGTCTATGCTCTTGCAACAATGGTGGGGCAGAGCTCTATTGCAAATGAATATGAAGACTAAAGCTCTCAGGCTAAGATGATGAAGTAGGCATTATAAGCTCAGAGGTCAGGCAGTTTTTTGTGATACTGATTTGCATTCTCCTTGTTTTTATTCTCTTGAGATGCCCACTCGAGTGTGATGAATGTTAATTGTATGCACCGCGACGTTTCTGTGAGAAAGGCCACTTGTGATGGAGTCAGACTGGTTATCTCTTGAAAAATATTCCTCCAAGTGATGCTCAAAAGCATCGAAGTGAGTTTGCTGAGCCTGGGTAGAGCTAGAAGATTTACAAAGGGAGCCAGGTAAGTTTGCATATATCTAAAGGGTTCCTCCTACTTAACCGTACAGTGGTACCTCGGGTTACATACGCTTCAGGTTACAGACTCCGCTAACCCAGAAATAGTACCTCAGGTTAAGAACTTTGCATCAGGATGAGAACAGAAATCGCACTCCTGCGGCGCGGCAGCAGCGGGAAGCTAAAGTGGTGCTTCAGGTTAAGAACAGTTTCAGGTTAAGAACGGACCTCCGGAACGAATTAAGTACTTAACCCAAGGTACCACTGTATTCGTGTTTTCTTAAAAGCCTGAGTCTGTGCTCTCCTGCAAAACATTAGGGAAACATGGTGCAAGACTGCAAAAAATGGTAAAAAGGAAACGCTTGTAGCATGGCCTCCCCTTCATGGAAGTGAGTCTGTAGCCAGCTGTGCCGGCTTAGACCAAGGGGCATTGTAGTCCAAAATATCTGGAAGGCACCATTTTGGGGAAGGCTGATGTTGCATTTTGTCATATATTTACTGACCAAAAAAAACAAAAACACACCAAAACAAACCTGGTAGAAGGGGGATTCAAGGAAGAGTAAGACACCTATGTCTCCCCGGTTTCGATTTAGGATGCCATTTAATTGAAGCATGTCACCAGTTCGTCTCCATGCCATCCAGGAATATAAAAGCATCACCACAGAAAAGCAACTTCCAGGCGGCTGCTTAATCACTGCTGAAAGTGGTCATTGCAATCTCTCACAATGCAGTCTTAAAACTGGTTAGAAAGTCACTAAACCCCACTGGAATTTGTGGGATTTAATACAAAGTCAAGGATTTGGACTGAAGTGTTAAAGGCTCAGAATTTGGAGGCAAGGCTTCTGTGGAAATCACGGAAACTATTTGCCAGTTAATCTGCTCAAAAGTCTCTCATCCCCACACACTTCAGCAAGGCCTCTTTTGCTATGGCCTGCTGCCCTACCTATCAACGTAGTCTCTTTTCTGTGAATTATCAAGCTCCAGGCTCACTGTTCCCTAGTGTTCAGAAACAGAGGGAGAACTGGTATAGCATTTTGGCCTGGGTGTGGGTTAGAAAGGCCCTGGTTTGAAGTTATCATCTGCTGCAAATGCCTCTCAAACAAACTCCTCTTTCTGAGCAGCTGCTCCCTGCAATACGGTCGTACCTTGGAAGTTGAATGGAACCCGTTCCGGAAGTCCAAAATGTTCAGACACCAAAGTGCAGCTTCTGATTGGCTGCAGGAAGCTCCTGCAGCCAATTGGAAGCTGTGGAAGCCCAGTTGGACGTTTGGTTTCCAAAAGAACGTTCAAAAATGGGAACAGTCATTTCTGGGTTTCGATTGTTCGAGAGCCAATTTGTTCAGGAGCCAAGCGTTTGAGATCCAAGGTATGTGTATGTGGATAAAACTGACCCCCTCACCTAAAAGCGTTGTTCTATGTGTTTGACACTTCCTCAGTAAACCTTTCAACTGTCTGAACTGCAACTCAGCTGCACAGCATAGATACTTGAGAGCCGATACTGCGAATAACCAGCAAAACATGCTTTCTTATGCATAGGCTTTATTGATTTGAAGTCTGACAGCCAGTTACACCGGGCTGAGATCTCCTTGGGAAACATGCTGAAATAGCAGCAGGCAGTACCACACTTCTCTGAGACTGGGTCTTCCTTCCACAGTATTGCAGAAAGAACGATGCAAGCTCAGGCTAGTCATGCTTATCGCTGGGCACATTCAGAACCTGACTTGCGCGCGGAAGTGCATCTGCTTTGTAGAGTTATTCTGCATGCTGGTCTTCAGCATCCACTTGGCCTTCATCCTCTGAAGGTACTGCATGTCACGCTCTCGAGCCAGTGCTGCTCCTGAAGTTATGGAGAAAGAGCCAACATTCAAGGTAAACGTAAAGGACCCCTGGACGGTTAAGTCCAGTCAAAGGCGACTGTGGGGTTGCGGCTCTCATCTCGCTTTTCAGGCCGAGGAAGCTGCTGTCTGTCCACAGACAGCTTTCCGGGTCATGTGGCCAGCAGGACTAAACCGCTTCTGGCACAACGGAACACCATGACGGAAACCAGAGCACACGGAAATGCCGTTTACCTTCCCGCCACAACAGTACCCATTTATCTACTTGCACTGGCATGCTTTCGAAGTGCTAGGTTGGCAGGAGCTGGGACAGAGCAATGGGAGCTCATTCAATCATGGGGATACGAACCGCCGACTTTCTGATCGGCAAGCCCAAGAGGCTCAGTGGTTTAGACCACAGTGCCACCCGACTACCCCTTCCAACATTCAACATTTAACCTGAAGGCAAAGCAACTTTTATGATGAACAGAAGCACCCATAGCCCAGGCATGTCCAAAGTCCGTTTTGGGGGGCAGTTATTTTCCTGGGATAAAACTTTAATCCTCAACAACTTTGGGGTAAAATTGTATGGCAGTTTATTTCCTGGGGTAAAATCCCCCCAAAAGCTCAACAACTTCAATCCTAAAAAAAGTTCAATAACTTTGGTTGGCCCTCACACATGTTCACTTCATCAAATCTGACCCTCTTTGAAAAAAGCTCTAGACAGATGCTAAAGGTCAAGGTCAAGGGACCCCTGACCATTAGGTCCAGTCGTGGCCGACTCTGGGGTTGCGGCACTCATCTCGCTTTATTGGCCGAGAGAGCCGGCATACAGCTTCCGGGTCATGTGGCCAGCATGACTAAGCCGCTTCTGGCGAACCAGAGCAGTGCACGGAAACACCGTTTACCTTCCCGCCGGAGCGCTACCTATTTATCTACTTGCACTTTGACGTGCTTTTGAACTGCTAGGTTGGCAGGAGCAGGGCCCGAGCAATGGGAGCTCACCCCGTCGCGGGGATTCGAACCGCCGACCTTCTGATTGGCAAGTTCTAGGCTCTGTGGTTTAACCCACAGCGCCACCCACGTCCCAGACAGATGCTACACACATGGAATTAAGAGAAACCAGCTCTTTGAAAAGGTATACCAACTAGTTCAGAATAAGAGAGAATAGCAGGCAGCTACTATAATTGGCTACTTCCAGGAAAATGTCCCTTCTTATGGCTGAAAGAGATGCCTCTCAAAGACAATGGCTAGTAACTGTATTGATATAACACCCTAATGCTGTTTGCTTACCTGTGCTGCTTGTCCATCCCAGAGCTTTATATTGCTGCAATACTCTGCCCACAGCGTGTTTATTTTTAGAAACAGCCACAGCTCTTGAAGCACCAAACCGCTGCTTATAGTATCTCATCAATGAACGGTGACCGATCCGGGCACCTTTGTAAGAAGGAAATGTGAGTATTAAAGCAACAGAGTAGCTTTTAAAACAAAAGTAAACTGGAAAATGGGGTTATCATTAGCCACAGAATCCCAGAAACTCAGAATCCCATAAGGAAGTGGTTCCCAATTGCGGGAATGCGTAACCCACTCGGGGGATCTGTGAAACCATTTACATAACGTTGATAGAGATATCAACGTTTTCAAAAGTACTGGGTCCATGGCTTGGCTTCTGAAAAACAGGGAGTCCTTAGTACTTAGCTAACTGGAAACCACTGCCATAAGGGAGGGTAGACAATGCCATTTAGGGTAGACGTAACTGCAAATAACATACTATATAAAGAACATGTAGAGATTTATATCATACCTTCCAGATCTGCAAGGGGCAGCTTACTATACCAAACAAGACTAAACAACGTACAGTGGTACCTCAGTTTTTGAACGTAATCCATTCCGGACGACTGTTCCAAGTTCCAAAACGTTTGAAAACTCAAAACGGAAGCCTCAATACGGAAAACTCAGTACGGAAGCCATGTGGCATGTTCAACTTCCGAGGCTTGTTCAAAAACTGAAGCTTTTACTTGCGGGTTTACGCCGTTCGAAAACTGAAATGTCCATCAATGGAGATGTTTGAAAACCAAGGTACCACTGTAGACTAAAATCCAGTTAAGAAGAACTCCACATGGAATACGGCAGACCCTGGTTGTTTATAATACAGTGGTACCTCGGGTTACATATGCTTCAGGTTACATACTCTGCTAACCCAGAAATATTACCTCAGGTTAAGAACTTTGCTTCAGGATGAGAACAGAAATCATGCTTCGGCGGCGCGGCGGCAGCAGGAGGCCCCATTAGCTAAAGTGGTGCTTCAGGTTAAGAACAATTTCAGACCTCCGGAACGAATTAAGTACTTAACCCGAGGTACCACTGTACGTACTTAGGCACAAGGCAAACCTAAACATTTCACCAGGATGCTAGACTGAACAAGCTTGCATATCTCTAGCACCAACAAACTATGGGTGTATAGAAAACACCCAATTCCACAGAAAGACCTATCTTTTACTTCCTTAAATCAGGGATTGGGCAGGGGGGGTGGACCAGCAATCCAGCCACCAGCTGTTCAGTGTGGAGAAGGTAAAACAGGTTTTTGATGATGTGTAAAGCATACAATTGCAGCTCCTTCCTCTGCAAACGGTTCTGCTGCGAGAATATCATGGTAGAGAGGGAAATGTCTGAGCAGGGAGAGACAGACTTGTACTCCTTGCAAATATGCAAAAAGTTATCCATGTATTTTGTAGCTGCACGCCTGCATGAAAGCTTTAGGATGCAAATGTTTAGTAATAGTAGTAGTAGTAATAATAATTTTTATTATTTATACCCCACTCACCCGGCTGGGTTTCCCCAGACACTCCGGGTGGCTTACAGCACATAAACAATTGTAAAACATTACACAGAGCTTGCAGTTCTGCTTATAATCTGCATTCTTCTGCGGGACTTGCAAAGTCTTTCGCTTTCTGCATAGACAGGACAGGGTTTTAGAAAAAAAGTCCCAACACCCTTTAACACAGTTTGGAAAAAACTATTCACAGAGAAAATGGACAGTGAAGCTCGAGTTACTAAAAATTAAATATATGCCTCTATTTCCATGGGAAACAGCTGTGCGAGTGTTTAATGATTGCATGTGGCCTCACCCACTATTGGAATGCAGTCCCCAACAGATTTCTACTGGGATAATATGACCCCCTTGTCCCCAAAACAGTTCCCAACCATGCTAAAAATGTGGTTCTCACTTCATTCTGAGAACTTCAGAATTCCATCCCGTTGCAGTGAGTTGCAACGGCTCTTCAGAACTTCTAAGGATTTCACACATTTGGGGGTGGGGAGTTGAACACCCCTTTCTTTACGTACTGCCATAGCAGACTAGGTAAAGGTCAAGGGACCCCTGACCATTAGGTCCAGTCGCGGACGACTCTGGGGATGTGGCGCTCATCTCGCTTTACTGGCCAAGGGAGCCGGCGTACAGCTTCCGGGTCATGTGGCCAGCATGACTAAGGCACTTCTGGCGAGCCAAAGCAGCGCACAGAAACGCTATTTACCTTCCCGCCGGAGCGGTACCTATTTATCTACTTGCACTTTGACGTGCTTTTGAACTGCTAGGTTGGCAGGAGCAGGGACCGAGCAACGGGAGCTCACCCTGTTGCAGGGATTCGAACCGCCGACCTTCTGATCGGCAAGTCCTAGGCTCTGTGGTTTAACCCACAGCGCCCCCTTTTTTTACGTACTGCCATAGCAGACTACATGCAACAAATAGGGAAAATGGCTAATTAAGACTCTCTCCCTCTTTCTTAGGCTTTTCTTCTCTTCAGTTTTGGTTAAGTGATGCTCTATCAGGGTGGATAAAAATCAATGATTTTTTTTAATGGATTTAAAAAAAAATTAATTGGATTTTTTCATTTAAATTGGTTTTTTTTAAAAAAAAAATCTTTTGGAGGAAAAATATTTCTAAAGATAGTTTTCCATTTAAGTTACATTATAGTCCAAAGGCTAGTCATCAGGAAAAAAGAATTTGTTTTAAGTTTTTCATGTGTGCTAAAACTCAGTCTAAGTGGGGGTTTTTATTTAAAAAAATGTTTAACCACATCACTTAACAAACATGGATACATTTGCTATAATGTTATTATTTTAGTTAAATAAACTGTTTAAACTATTATTAAGGAAATTATTATTTTTCTCCTTCCAATAAAGTACAGCAGAAAAGTTGTCCAAATATAAACAGCTAACTTACTAAACCTCACAAAAAATCCATGAACATCTGTCTATGTATTTCTAATAGTATAACCAAATCAGTAATTTTTTATATAACAGTAAAAAAAAATTCTTCCAAAAATGAAACCTTCGTCTGGTTGTAAATATTAAGATTATACCAGCAAGAATGAGTCTTTCTGTAAAAAAATGATTTAAATCAAGTCTTATTGACTAGTGATTTAAATCAATTTGATTTAAATCAAATCCACCTTGTGCTCTAATGTATTTTCAATGCGACTTTTTCATGTTGCTCCGTTTACTCATTATCATTTTTTGTAAAATCCTAGCAGCAAAATTAACAGCTAACGCCTTGCAAGCACTAAAACTATTCGCTGAATCAGCCACAGCATTAGAAACATAGCCCTCAGCGGTAATGCTTGGTCAAAATTCTCCCCTGGCAAATTATTCTTCAGAGCTACCCCAAAGCAAAAAGAGCACAAGATTATCATGGATATGTGTGTCTGTGTATCTGGGAAGGTGAGAGAACACAAAGAACTGACTGGCTGAAACAAAAAGAGGGGAGCTTTGAACAATCAGAGACTTCCAGTGTGTTGTGTTCTCTACATGCACACTGCGACCCAAGTCTGATATACTGGAATAGAAAGTATCGTATTCCACACCCATGTGAATGTGTTGACCACTTCGAACAACGTTTGTCATGGGAACAATCTCTAGTAAACAAGCAGAGTTCAGGAATCGGAATGCTAGAATCCCGAAAGTGCCATCTAGTGGCTTACATGTTTAAATATTTGCATCAACAGTTTAAATTTGGGGTCAGCTAAGTTTTTCAGCAGGGGGCCGGTCCACTGTCCCTCAGACAGTCTACATTTTGAAGGAAAAAAACGAATGAATTCCTATGCCCCATAAATAACCCAGAGATGCATTTTAAATAAAAGGACACATTCTACTCATGTAAAAACACCAGACAGGCCCTACAAATAACCAAGAGATGCATTTTAAATAAAAGGACACATTCTACTCATGTAAAAGTACGCTGATTCCTGAACCATCCGCGGGCTGGATTTAGAAGGCGATTGGGCCAGATCTAGCCCCCAGGCCTTAGTTTGTTTACCCATGGTTTAAAAGCTTGAGGGTCAGATTTTCTACACAGAACACCTCTATTTTTCAGGAACATTCAGGAATGTTCTCTCTAAGCACTGCCCTCAGTATGTGATGACGCTGCACTGTAATGTGCTAGAAATCACTGAAAAGGCTCTGAAAGAGAGCATTTCATTTCATTTGCAGCCCACCTTTATCATATCTTACCGCCAATTTTCTTTTCTTCTTCTTTTTTATAAAAAAGAACTTTCCTGTCCCCATAAGGATTTTTAATCAGTCAAAGAGAACTCTAACAGGGGCAGAATCCTGAGACCTCACACTCCACTTTGCTGGTTTAAATCAAATTCTTTGTTTTGCTCTCCCATTTAAAGCACGTACTTCCTTTAGAGTGGCATAAATGTGGATCTCAAGGCTAGACCCGCCGGGGTCACAGCAGAACTGTGTTGTCATACGCCTGCAGACCTCTCCTATGAGATTTTTAAAGCCGGGAAGTGATTTCCTCATTTCTCAGACAGCGCAATATTAAAGACACACGTACGAAAATGACCAACAAGCTTAAGGGGTGTGCCTGGGAATTTTGCAAGGTGATTGCTGCTGCAAGTCAACCAAATGGAAAGGTTAGCACCGTCCCCGTGTATTAGCTGCACTGAAAGTAATGGAACAAACCGTTTATTCATGATTAGTACATTACCGTATTTTTTGCTCTATAAGACTCACTTTTTCCCTCTTAAAAAGTAAGGGGAAATGTGTGTGCGTCTTATGGAGCGAATGCAGGCTGCACAGCTATCCCAGAAGCCAGAACAGCAAGAAGGATTGCTGCTTTCACTGCGTAGCGATCCCTCTTGCTGTTCTGGCTTCTGAGATTCAAAATATTTTTCTTCTTGTTTTCCTCCTCCAAAAACTAGGTGCGTCTTGTGGTCTGGTGCGTCTTATACAGCGAAAAATACGGTACATTCTACTTTTATTTCAACATGGAACTTAAGGCAGCGAAGTTAAGGCTTCCCAAGGCTGCTGTATAGCTTGTGCGTTCAGACCTTGATTGGAACATTGCATGTTAAGTCTATAACATTCAGTGTGCTCACTGTGAATGCTGCCACACTAAAGTCAACACAACTTTCTTCTGAGTATGCCTTATAAGATGGGAGTGCAAGAGCCCAGGCAAAGATGCAATAACGTGGCACACACTGGGCTGAGGTCTTTTTTCTTTAAGACGCTTCTCTTAGGGATGGATAAGATACAAAGGCCCTCAACAGCCCTGCCCCACAAAGTTCTTGTTGACTAATCCCACAGCAACAGACTCGACTTATCCACGCACATCAATACAACCATCAGTGGATCAACAACTGATGGAGCAAGGAACTTGCTTCAGGGGGTCAAAATCTGCCAACGGATGCTGGTTCCTGGACAGAGGCATGCTCACACCGCAGTCATAGCATTAGTACAAAAGCTGGGTGTCCACCAATATGCGGATGATACCCAGCTCTACCTCTCCTTCAGATCAGAACCAGTGACGGCGGTGAAGGTCCTGTGAGAGTGCCTGGAGGCGGCTGGCAGATGGATGATGGCTAACAGACTGAGGTTGAATCCTGACAAGACAGAAGTACTGTTTTTGGGGGACAGGGGGCGGGTGGGTGTGGGGGACTCCCTGGTCCTGAATAGGGTAACTGTGCCCCTGAAGGTCCAGGTGCACAGCCTGGGAGTCATTTTGGACTCACAACTGTCCATGGAGGCGCAGGTCAATTCTGTGTCCAGGGCAGCTGTCTACCAGCTCCATCTGGTATGCAGGCTGAGACCCTACCTGTCTGCAGACTGTCTTGCCAGAGTGGTGTATGCTCTGGTTATCTCCCGCTTGGGCTACTACAATGCGCTCTACGTGGGGCTACCTTTGAAGGTGACCTGGAAACTACAACTAATTCCAGAATGCGGCAGCCAGACTGGTGACTGGGAGTGGTCGCTGGAACCATATAACACTACTCATAAAGGGTCTTCACTGGCTCCCAGTATGTTTCTGAGCACTATTAAAAGTGTTGGTGCTGACCTTTAAAGTCCTAAACGGCTTCAGTGCAGTATACCTGAAAGAGCGTCTCCACCCCCATCGTTCAGCCCGGACACTGAGATCCTCCTCAGAGGGTCTTCTGCTGGTTCCCTCACTATGAGAAGTGAGGTGAGAGGGAACCAGGCAGAGGGCCTTCTCGGTAGTGGCACCCGCCCTGTGGAACGCCCTCCCTTCAGATGTCCAGGAGTTAAAAAATTACACAACTTTTAGAAGACATCTGAAGGCAGCCCTGTATTCGGAGGTTTATAATGCTTGATGTTTTATGTTTTTGGATATGCTGTAAGCCACCCACAGTATCTGGGGAAACCCAGCCAGATGGGCAGAGTATAAAGAAAAAGATTAATATTTTTATTAAATATTCTGGGGAAAGGCAGGGACGGCTCACCTTCAAGGCAAGTCATTTAGAAGGCAACTGTGTGAACCACCCAGCCTGACTTGCACTAATTGTTAATGAATCTGTAAAGTGAGCACTTGGGATGATCCTGGTATATTTCAAGAATACACTTACCTGAAGGTAAAATCAGCTCCATTGAATCATCATCATAATCCAAATTCTTCTCTGGTGGCAGTTCTTCAGACATCTCTGCACCATCTCCTTCCTGATAGTCAGGATAAGTGCTCCTATGAAACAGATATAGCAAGATCCTGCGTTATTTCCCTTAGTAAGGACTGCATGCTTAACAGCTCAATCTCAAGACCAGCTACCAAGTGATGTACACAGGTTACCCATTAAAACTTCTGAGGAGGTGAAAGTCTCTTTTGAGTAATACGCCACAAACGGCTACATATACTCCAGAACTCTGACACCAAAGCCACTGCAAGGTTCTGGAATAGCGTTCGAATGAGACTTGGCTTCTCAACACACCCAAAGCTGATCTTCTCATTCACAACTGCCATGTAGTATAACTGCACCAGGACCAGGAAAACAGGAAGGCACCAAGCACAGGAAAATCAGGAAACGTGGAGGTTTTAGATGAGAGCTAGAGGATTGCAACACTTTAGATGAGAGCTAGAGGACCGCATATCTCAATGCTCCCCTTTGAAAAAATTAAAAAGAATAGAAGAACTCCTGTACTTATACCAGGGAGAAAGGTTCTAGCATAGCTCTCACTGTGATGCACTAGTTTTCTACAAGCAAGGAGTCTGCATTGTTTCTATGGGGATAAGCAAGAATGAAATCCCTCACCTTAACCTAGAATGGTACAATCCCAGCTGACCGTCACCCACAATGGTCTACGGATGCCCGTTTTAAAGCTCTTTTTGCTTTTAACTTGCTTTTAACGTTTTATGATGTTACTGTTTGGTTTTTGGTTTTTATGTTGTTGTAAACTGCTGTGATATATATTTATGATACAGCTGCATATATTTTGATACAACAAACAAACAAACAAACAAACAGGGCTATACTATTATTCTCGTCTGCTGTAAAAGAACACGCTGTATTCATATGATGGGGCTATAGAACAATAACTTAACAGAATGTAGGTTTTAAGCTAAAAGGTTATCACTGGAGACCAAGTACCAGTGGCAAGGTGGAGACAGTGGTTGTATTCAGATGATCAAATCCTGGCTTAGTATAGCATCTTAATAAATGGCCTAATGGTGTACTGTAATAACATGAAGTTAAGCCAAAATATGATTTGAACACTGAACACCAACTCATAACGTATGTTGGCCACCTCATAGTAAATATTTTGGTGAAAAGCAGTCTATACATTTTACAAACTAAAACACTTTGCATTACAGCAGCCTGGTGAAGGGAAAATGTAGCATTACCAGCACAACCTGCTTTGAAGTTCTGTTCTAGATTCAAAAGGGCTTCTGCAAAAGTGATTTCTGGTACATTGTGCCCTGTATTTCTTGGTCGATCAGCTGGTACACCTTTATAGGCTAGCGCAGGAAATCATCTGTCCAAAATGTATAAAACCAGCCCTATCCCATGGGCTCAGATTAACTGACTACCTCTTAACATGTTTCCGATGTACATTTCCCCTCCGCTGCCTAGACCAAAGGATTGAAGCTATCCAGTACCCCTCCTTGTTCAACTAAATCTCTAGCAAGCGTTTGTCCCACTGCTGCAGAAATTCTTGTGAAATAAAATGTCTGGGCTTCACATGAGCATACAGTGGTTCGGTGCTCATCTCGCTTTATTGGCCAAGGGAGCCGACGTACAGCTTCTGGGTCATGTGGCCAGTATGACTAAGCCACTTCTGGCGAACCAGAGCAGCGCACGGAAGCGCCGTTTACCTTCCCACTGGAGTGGTACCTATTTATCTACTTGCACTTTGACGTGCTTTCAAACTGCTAGGATGGCAGGAGCAGGGACCGAGCAACGGGAGCTCACCCTGTCGCGGGGATTCGAACCGCCGACCTTCTGATCGGCAAGTCCTAGGCTCTGTGGCTTAACCCACAACACCACCTGCATCCCAGCACAATACTAGACCAATGCAAATGCCAAAACTGAAACGTTTCATTTGCTGTTTGTCTAAATTTGGCCGCTGCCATTTCCCACCTGAAGTCATAGAAGTCTGCAAACTCCAGAGCAGCATCGCCTTCCGTGAAGAGCTTGCAGTGGCTTTTGTCGTTCATATGGGCCTGCACAGCTTCCGTCGTGTAGAAGGATTTCCCCTTCTCATTGCACCACAGGCAGATCTTCCCAATGCCAACCTTCTCTCCTGTAGATTGAGAGGAGAAAGATACACACACTGTACTCTCCCATCTTATGCTAACGCAGCGTATTTGGCGGTTTCACAGCATTCCACAGCCCAAATGTTGTTCTACTGTAAATCAGGGATGGGAAATCTGTGTGTTGCTGAACTCCCAAATCCAACTAACCCCGTGGAAGTTTTAAGTCTAGCAACATCTGGAAGACCACACACCTGCTTCACATTATACAGTAAATACAAAAATAAATAAAACAAATAAAATAGTAAAGAGGTAGGGTAAAGGACCCCTGGACGGTTAAGTCAGGTCAAAGGCGACTATGGGTTGCGGCGCTCATGACTGCATTAAATTTATTACAGTCCCAAACCAGATTCACATACGTACTAAGTGAACATAAAACACAATAGAATTAAGTTTGACAATAGAATTAAGTTTGTACAGTAGAATTAAGTTTGTTACAATAGAATTAAGTTTGCGGTACTCATCTCGCTTTCAGGCCAAGGGAGCCAGTGTTTGTCCACAGACAGCTTTCTGGGTTATGTGGCCAGCAGGACTAAACCGCTTGTGGCGCAACGGGACATCGTGACGGAAACCAGAGCGCATGAAAACGCTGTTCACCTTTCCACTGCAGCAGTACCTATTTATCTACTTGCACTGGCGTGCTTTTGAACTGCTAGGTTGGCAGGAGCTGGGACAGAGCAACGGGAGCTCACCCTGTCGCTGTGATCTGAACTGCCGACCTTCCAATCGGCAAGCCCAAGGGGCTCAGTGGTTTAGATCACAGCGCCACCTGCATCCCCCACAAATATAATAGCCTTGTATCAGTTCACCTCACAATAATTTCCTAATTATCTATGTATTTCTAATAGTATAACCAAATCCGTAATTTTTGATATAACTGTAAAAACTACTCTGAAAATTTATTATTCAAAAAATGAAACCTTCATCTGGTTGTAAATATTAAGATTATACCAGCAAGAATGAGTCTTTCTGTAAAAAAAAATAATGATTTAAATCAAGTCTTACTGACTAGTGATTTAAATCAAATCCACCGTTTCAAATGATATGTATTTTACTCTGAGGAACAACACTGAGATGAATGCCACAGGATGCCATCTTAAAATCAACAAGAGAGCTTGAGATAGTTGAGGCTGGCATGTCTTAAGACTTACCCAAGTACTTAATCAGACCTCTGATATCCACAAGATATTCTATATCTGGAATAAAGAAACTGTGAACTTTTGTCATGTGGGACACATTCTTCATGAGGCAGCTTGAATGGTGGGAACAGAATAAGCAGTCGGTTACTGGGATCGCGTCTGAGCTGGAGTGATCCTTCCCAGACGCACTCTCTTCGGCCTCATCCGGGATTCCTTCCATCGGTCCTTCTTCGACCTCCAGATCTTCATCTGAGTCTACATCCTCCCAACCTTTCAAACCAAGCGAAAGTGAAAGCTTAGGAGGAATCTTTTCATGCTGAGCAAAAGATGCAGGTTAACCATTCAATACAAGCGGCAGGCTAGTTTTCTCATAATTATGAATGGTCTACCACCCCCTTGATTGCTCCCAAAATCATTTGGGCTGTTTGAGCTTTCAAGGCGAACACTAAAAAAAACTCCCTAAGAACACTGTGCTGTCTTCTTTTTAGTGCCTGCTTAAAAAAATTTTTGTTTAGGCTTTAACTTTGTATTAATTTGGTGACAGTTGGTTGTTGTTTTTTGAAAATCAATAATAACAATAACAATAATTTCCCCAGCCCCAACAGAACACGATAAAACATCAAACATTAAAAACTTCCCTAAAGAGGGCTGCCTTCAGAAGTCTTCTAAAAGTCAGATAGTTGTTTATTTCCTTGACATCTGGTGGGAGGGCGTTCCACAGGGCGGGCGCCACTACCAAGAAGGCCCTCTGCCTGATTCCCTGTAACAACCTCACTTCTCGTAGTGAGGGAACCAGTAGAAGACCCACAGAGCTGGACCTCAGTGTCTGGGCTGAACGATGGGGGTGGAGACGCTCTTTCAGGCATACTGGGCGAAGGCCATATAATTAGCAAAAAAAACCCACATTTTTCTTTAGGCAAGTCTGTTGAGACGAAGCTACATATGTTTTACCTCCTTTGAGCTACTATGAATTCTAACAATCCTTCGGAATGTTTTTCTATACATGTATTTTAACCATTGTTATCAATAATTTTATTGCTCTATATTTTTGTAACCAGCTTAGCGGTTTTCTTACAATCAAGTGGTATAAATTTTTTGTTAAAACAATTTTTAAAAAAATATTCAAGCAGCCCAAATTCTCCCTATCTCCTCTATATTTTCAGCCTAGATATAAACTGCTGATTTGAACTAGCTGCTGTACAAAGCCTATGAATGGGACTTTCTAATAAACCAGGGGTCAGACAACACAAACACATGTTGTTGTTGACCACCTCCCATCAGCCTCAGCCAAAATGGCCAGGAATGATGAGAACTGTAGTCCAGAAGATCTCCCAGTGCGTTTCCGAACACAATTCAAAGCGTTGGTGCTGACCTTTAAAGCCCTAAACGGCTTCGGTCCTGTATACCTGAAGGAGCGTCTCCACCCCCATTGTTCAGTCCGGACACTGAGATCCAGCACTGAGGGCCTTCTGCCGGTTCCCTCACTGCGAGAAGTGAGGTTACAGGGAACCAGACAGAGGGCCTTCTCGGTAGTGGCACCTACCCTGTGGAACACCCTTCAGATGAGAAGGAAATAAGCAGCTATCCTATTTTTAAAAGACATCTGAAGGCAGCCCTGTTCAGGGAAGTTTTTAATATTTAACGCTGTATTATTTTAAACACTTGATTGGAAGCTGCCCAGAGTGGCTGGGGAAACTCAGCCAGATGGGCGGGGTATAAATAATAAATAATAAATAATAATAATAATAATAATAATAATTATTATTATTATTAGGATGGCTTTTCCTGTGCTAAAGCATCCAAACTCCCCAAAAGACTGCTGCCAGAATAAACTGCCCTTGCCCCGCTACCTTCTTCCATATCGTCGACCTCCTCTTCTTCCTCCGACTGTTCTCTTGCCAGCTTCTTGGCCTGTTCCTCAAACCACTGCAGCCGGGGAGCTTTTTCCGCACGCTCTCTGCTACTTTCCACAGCAATTGAAGACCCAGCAGCACCGCCAGGCAAGAAGGGAGCCTTCTTTGGAGACAGGGAGGGCTGGGCTCTGATGGCTTGCTGGATGGCAGCATTCATGGCATCTTTGTCAACGTTCTCTTGAGCGAGGCCTTTCTCCAAGTTCTTCTCATTCAGGAGTTCGACCTTCTTGCTGACCGCTTGGACGGCTTTCTTCTCGAGCTCCAGGTGCTTCTTGGACTTCAGGTGGTTCTCGTAAGCGTTGAAGTTGGAGAACCTCTTGCTGCAAGCCGTGCAGTAGGTAGCAGTCGCCTTGTTCTGCTCCTCCAGCCCGGCTCTCTGTGCCAGAACCCTCTCCTGGAAGTTCTCAGCAGTGACAGGTGGCATCTCGGCGACTTTCCGTTTCAGGTTGTACCTGTGCCAGTCGGTCTTGTAGTGGGCACGCTGGACATCGGCATCCTTGAAAGCCACGCGGCAAGTGATGCAAGTGTACGACGCCACGGCTGGAGAGGAAGGAGAACACACAAACGCCATAATACAGGTTAGCCAAGACAAGCAGAAGCCTGAAATTCAGCTTAACACAACGGTCTTAGGCATGCCTTATACAGTGGTACCTCAGGTTAAGTACTTAATTCGTTCCGGAGGTCCTTACGTAACCTGAAACTGTTCTTAACCTGAAGCACCACTTTAACTAATGGGGCCTCCCGCTGCTACCGCGCCGCCAGAGCCCGGTTTCTGTTCTCATCCTGAAGCAAAGTTCTTAGCCTGAAGCACTATTTCTGGGTTAGCGGAATCTGTAACCTGAAGCGTATGTAACCTGACGTACCACTGTATTAACAGGAATAAAACAGGCAACCTGGGAGGGGAGGAATTTTACACAGCCCATGGATCTAAAAACAGGTTAATGAAATATGTGGCACAATCCGAACAAACACTTCGAAGTCCCATTGATTTCTCCAAGAAACAAAATCAGCATCTGGCACGCCGGCTGAGACCCTACCTGCCCACAGATTGTCTTGCCAGAGTGGTGCACACTCTGGTTATCTCCTGCTTGGACTACTGCAATGTGTGGGGGGCTACCTTTGAAAGTGACCTGGAAACTACAATTAATCCAGAATGCGGTAGCCAGACTGCAGACTGGGAGTGGCTGCCGGCACCATATAACACCGGTCTTGAAAGACCTACACTGGCTCCTGTGACATTAACATATATGAGAGAATGCTGGAGGGGAAATAAATAGGTTGCACAGACAGGACCCAGGGGGGTGGAGTCAGTGGGTCTATAAAACTAGTTCTGGGAGGAGTTCTGGGAGGAGTTCGTTGGGAGTTGTGGGTGGGTAGTTGGTTGGATTTCATGGGTTGGCTGGTTGGGAAAGGCAGTTGGTAATAGAGACAGTTAGGGCAGTTGGTCCTTGAGTGTGGGGGAAGGTAGCAGAGATAGAGAGAGGAACATAAGACTAAGAAAGTAAAGAGGAACACCGTTTGGTATGCTGTAAAAGTTTTGTGTCTGAAATAAAATACACTCTTCTTTATTAATTAAAAAGCTGACTGAGACTGAAGTGATTTTACCAGGGAGGACCTGGTTGGTGGCAGCGGATTAGTGGTGTACGGGTCAACAGTCCGTGAGACGACCGGGGGCTCCGTACGAACGCCACAGCTCCCAGTACATTTCCGAGCACAATTCAGAATGTTGGTGCTGACATTTAAAGCCCCAAACGGCCTTGGCCCAATATACTTGAAGGAGCATCTCCACCCCCATTGTTCAGCCTGGACACTGAGATCCAGCTGCGAGGGCCTTCTGGCGGTTCCCTCACTGCTGAGAAGTGAAGCTACAGGGAACCAGGCAGAGGGCCTTCTCAACAGTGGTGCCCACCCTGTGGAACACCCTCCCATCAGATGTCAAGGAAATACAGTAAACAACTATTTGACTTTTTAGAAGACATCTGAAGGCAGCCCTGTTCAGGAAAGTTTTTAATGTTTGATGTTTTATTGCTTTATTATTATTACTATTATTATTATTCTGTTGGGAGCCACCCAGAGTGGCTGGAGAAACCCAGCCAGATGGGCGGGGTATAAATAATAAATTATAATATTATTATCATGCTTTATATTAACAGGGAAAAACAGGCGGCCTGGGAGGGCAGGAATTTTACACACCCCGTGGATCTAAAAATACAGTGCTGCCCCACAAGACGAATGCCTCGCAAGACGGAAAACTTCTCCTAGCTTTTCCAGCTGCACTGGCTCCCGGTGGAGTACAGGGTCAGATTTAAGGTGCTGGTTTTGACCTTTAAAGCCCTTCACGGCCTAGGACCCTCGTGCCTACGGGACCGCCTCTCCCGGTATGCCCCACGGAGAGCCTCAAGGTCCATAAATAGCAACACCCTAGTGGTCCCAGGCCCTAAGGAAGTTAGATTGGCTTCAACCAGAGCCAGGGCCTTTTCAACACTGGCCCCGGCCTGGTGGAACGCTCTGCCTCATGAGACCAGGGCCCTGCAGGATCTGATTTCTTTCCGAAGAGCCTGTAAGACAGAGTTGCTCTGCCTGGCCTTTGGCTTGGAGCCAATTTGATTCCCTCCCCCTCTTTCTTTTTCCTTTCTCCTCCTGTGATGAGGCTGCATTTTAATATTTTAATGTTTCAATATTTTAATTGTTGTATTTTAATCTTGTTTTTAAGTTGTATTCATTCAACTTGTTTTTATTATTGCTTGTTAGCCGCCCTGAGCCCAGCCTTGGCTGGGGAGGGCAGGGTATAAATAAAATATTATTATTATTATTATTATTATTATTATTAGATCTGTCTTTCCAGGTTGATGAGCTCCATCTGCCCCTACAGCACTATACGCTAGCAAAGTAACACTAAGGTACATATTGGCACAGTAAATCCCAATTAGTATTTTCCACAGGGCCAGTAAGAGAAGGAAGTGCACTAGTTGGTAGGGCCTGTTTTAATTTTTCAACTTCCATATTCCAAAAATGAGGGGTGCTAAAAAGTTGTAACGTGACTAGGGAATTCAAGAGGTCCTCTGGTTAAATTAATGTAACTTAAGTTTTTGCTGGTAAATAAAATGTGTGCAATAGTGCATACAAATCCTTAAAAATGATTGCAAGTACTTGCAGTTATATTATATATGGTATATTTTATTTATATATTGTACATATTTTCTATTACCTGGACACTTTCAGAAGACAAAATTAAAATTCTCTGGCCTTCCGAGAGCAGTTCATTTGCTTCTTAATCAAATGTACCCTTACCAACCCAAATGCTGTCCAGTCACAAAAATAAGAGGTTTAAATTCCTCATGCCCCAAAACATGTTTTTCAGATCCCCTCACTGAATAAATAGGCAAACATTAAATTTCAGCTCCTAAACTGACACGCCCTAAGTGAACGGGGCACCTGGCTCCATCGTCACAGAGACTTTGCACCATCCTACCTGACGTCGCCGGACAGTCGGGCGACTCGCTGCTGCTCATAATCCAGCGGCTGGAAAGGCCGCGTCGGAAGCAAAAGTAGTTGTTTTTATTAGAAAGAAAAAAAGATATCAGCTATTCCAATCCTGAACGACGACACGGAACGCCGGTGAAAGAAGGCAGCGCGATGGAACGTTGAGCGTGGGAAAGAGAACGCTGAGCGTGGGAAAGAGAACGTTGGAGTGGCGAAGATTCCACCGAACTTTGATCGCTGTCGGCTCCAAAGACGCAACGCTTCCCTTCCCTTTTCCCGGCCTCGCAGCCACGCTTCAACGTCGAAGCTTTTCCTTCTCGCTCGCAGGAAGAGGAAGACGGCTTTGACGGCTATTTCCCGCTTCCTCCTCCTTCTCTCGCGCGCCCTCTGCGTGCACGGAGGGTTACATGCTGCGCCGTGTTATTCTCCCCCTTTTTCCAGCGGCGCAAAGAGGGGCAACCGACCCTTTTGCGTGCCCCACAAGGCAGAGGCTGAAAAGAGGAGGGAAGGGCCCAGCTTGGACGCCCCCAGCCCATGGTGCCACCCGCTTTTACGCGCGAGAGTCACGGAAGGCAGCGTCTGGTTCTCCGGGTTCTTCTTGGTTGCCCTCCGTATCCACTCCGGGCGCTGCGCGATGAGGACTAGTCCCTTGGTGCTTGCTGGGGAGGAAACACAAACATCCACTTCTGCCCCGCCGCTCTCCAACTCTGGGCTAACCCTGGCGCCTTCCAGGCGTTGTTGGACAGCAGCTCCCATCAGCTCCAGCCAGGTATGATGATGATGATGATGGTAATAATAATGATGATGATGATGATGATGATTATTATTATCTCCCAATCGAGTGTTAAAAACAATACAGCATTAAATATTAAAAACTTCCCTAAACAGGGCTGCCTTCAGATGTCGTTTAAAGATAGGATAGCTGCTTATTTCCTTCACAGCTGATGGGAGGGCGTTCCACAGGGTGGGCGCCACTACCGAGAAGGCCCTCTGTCTGGTTCCCTGTAACCTCACTTCTTGCAATGAGGGAACCACCAGAAGACCCTCGGCGCGGGATCTCTGTGTCCTGACTCTCCTCGTTAGCATTAAGATAAATTCAACAGTGTAAGTTTTGATGGATGTACCGTAATAATGGAATACTGCATGGTTAAGTTTATATAAAATATGCAGGGATTTATGTTATGCAAAATGAACCATGGAAAGAGAAGAAGTCACTGACATTTTAAGGCTGTTGAAATGAATATTCTTAATTGTAAAACAGAAAATTTAATAAAAAATATTTTTTAAAAAATAATTAAATTTATAGCCCATCAATCCAATGGAATTATATGGTGGAAAGCATGGTAGAGGACAGAGGGGATTTTGTTAGTTGCAGATGCTAAATTTTGTCTAATGTGTTGACATGACTCAACACTAGTATTATCAGAGGTTATAAACTAGCGTGATGCAAAAGGGCTATTACTAAATATGCTGACGTAAATAGCTGCACACACAAACTTAAGCTTTAAATGTTGTTGACATACCATGACAGCTATCACTTTACATGAACTGGAGGGCATCATCCATCATCACATGTATGCACAAAGCAACCAACTTCAGAGGATATTTGGTCAGGTATTATTGGATGTTGTACACACCTTTCCCTTTTCACTGAAGGAGAAGTGCAAACGTTTTGTGCAGGAGACATAAAAATAGGTTTAAAGGTACCCCTGCCCGTACGGACCAGTCGTGTCCGACTCTAGGTTTGTGCGCCCATCTCACTCTATAGGCCGGGGGCCAGCGCTGTCCGGAGACACTTCTGGGTCACGTGGCCAGCGTGACGAAGCTGCTCTGGCGAGCCAGCACCAGCGCAGCACACGGAAACGCCGTTTGCCTTCCCGCTGGAGCGGTACCTATTTATCTACTTGCACTTAGGGGTGCTTTCGAACTGCTAGGTGGGCAGGAGCTGGGACCGAAAGACGGGAGCTCACCCCGCCGCGGGGATTCGAACCACCGACCATGCGATCGGCAAGCCCTAGGCACTGAGGTTTTACCCACAGCGCCACCCGCGTCCCTAAAAAAATAGGTTTAAAAAGTTACAAAGAGGCATCCAACCTCCATCTTTAGCCTTTTCACTTGTGGGAAACCAATCCCAATCTGTGCTTTTATCTTAATGCAGACCCTACAAAGCTAAAGAATTTAAGCCCATTTCAAAGCAACTCCCACTGATTTCAATGGAATTAACATTCAAGTATGCATCTTCAAAAGGCAGTTTCACAACATCCAAAGTATTTTTAGTAGTTCAGTGTTTTATCCATTCTGCTTTGAGGGTCTAAGGGGTAGTTCTCACATTGAAATTTTAAATACTGAAAACACCCCTGGGTCTGAACCGGAAATTGTAATATAATATCAGTTTGCAAGAGAGAAGTTACCGTAGTGAAGATCATACAGAGGTCCTCATAATTATGTGCTTACCAGGAGCAGACAAATGGGAAAATAATTTCTTCTCTCTCAAGGGTAACAGGAAATGAGGCCTGATGAAGTACCAGTGTTAAGTGGTAGCTTTTTGTTTATTGCTACATGCAGAACAGAACAAAAAGTGTAAGGGAAAGCCTTGCGGGCCAGAGGTACCAACAATTCATTGTACAGTGGTACCTCGGGTTACAAACACTTCGGATTAAAGACTCCAATAACCCAGAAGTAGTACCTCGGGTTAAGAACTTTACTTCAGGATGAGAACAGAAATTGCATGGTGGCAGCGGGAGGCCCCATTGGCTAAAGTGGTACCTCAGGTTAAGAACAGTTTCAGGTTAAGAACGGACCTCCAGAACGAATTAAGTCCATAACCAGAGGTACGACTGTATTAGATCCAACTTCCCTTCTTTAAACAAAAGGAACCACGAACAATTTCTTATATGGGAATACAGTTGTGTCTGCATTTGTAAATAACTAGGATGTTTGCAGACATGTCAGATTTTTGGTGAAATAGGAATTTTTCAAAAAAAAGTTTTTCCGCAGGTTAAGGCGCCGAAGGCTGATTTCTTGGCCTGTGATAAAAAAGACTTCTGTTTCCACAGCCATACCTTTCAGGAGAGAATTTGCAACTGTTTGGCACCATTTTTAAGTGAATTTGATAACGTTAAATTTTTGGTGAAATTCTGACCCCACGGGTTAGGGATTTTTTTTCAGAAAAATGTTTTTCCGCAGGTTAAGTAGTCAAGGGCTGATTTCTTGGCCTATGATAAAAACCCTTATGTTTTCACCCCCAAACCTTTCAGGGGAGAATTTGCAACAGTTAGTCACTGTTTTTGAGTGAATTGGATAACGTCAGATTTTTCGTGAAATTGTGACCCTGTGGGTTAGGGATCCCATCAGTGTTTTATGGTTCATTCTGCAATTTGTAAAGCATAGTGATGGTTTTTACTTAGAATGTCCTGGAGCACATTTAAGGAAACGTAAGGCTTCTTCTGATACCATTTGTATTGTTTTGGAGTACAGAAAGCTAATATGAGGAACTACACTAGCAGCATTGGAAATCTATGTTAGCCCATATCCATGATAAGACCTCTAGAAATCAAATGTTTACTCATGCCTTTGATGAACTGATACTTAAAAGTTGGGTGCTGGCTCCTAAGAATTTGAAATATTTTTTCTCACCATCAAGGATGAGCTTAGAGAAGCTATTACCTTACTAAGTGGGGATCAATTCCTATGTCAACAAAGGCAGCCAAAATCCAAGGAGCAGTGTACAAGTCATTTTCCATGCTGCAGGGGGCATTAGATTCATTCCTCAAACTGCAGCTTGTGCCACATTGTAAACTTGTTTTTGAAATGTGAGTTTGTAATGTAGTTTGGGCTTTGTTAAGTAAGAGTCTGCAGTTCAAAGGCGGCAGGGGAGAACAAATCCTATTGGCCATACCCACTCAAAGCCCTTTGGTGTACCATAAATAGATCTTCCAGCCTCTGTCCAGAATTTTCAAAAGAGAATGCAAAGACCCCTAGGTAGTTAATCACAACATCTCTTTTCTGCGTGAGATGCTGAAGGTGGAAGAAGTAAGAAATCAGTGCAGCTACACAAACAAATGTTTTCAGGACTGGGGCTTTATTTTATAATATTACGATCGTACTTTTTTGTCTCAATACCAGAAAAACTGGTTTACAGGAAGTCTCAAGCAGGCCCACCAGCTGCTTTTAATGATGAACGTTGGAACTTCAGTCCTTTTAAGAGTACCACCGCAGTATTGGATATTTGGAAATCCCTGAAACATTTCTTCTAAAAACAACAATAAAGTGCACACAGTTACATTTTACAACACAGCTGGTATGAGCCAGGAAGATGCTCTGCCAGTCTTCTTACAAGTCTTCTTCAAACCCCTCCCTGCTCTCTCCCTAAGCAGCCTCAACTATTTAACTGCGCAATCTGGTGCATGCTTACTCAGAAGTAAATCTCACTGAATTCAGTAGGGCTTATTCCCAAGTAAATGTGTTTAGGATTGAAGGGACGTATCTATAGAATGGATAAAGTTTGATTAACTGCACTTCCACCATGAAAAAGGAACCCCATGTTTAACAAGGGGAAGAGGTCACTGTGAGCTTCTGCTGAGCATATCTATATTTATGGGTACAGCATTCTCTTGGGTGGAAGTGCTTTCCTCTATTCCTTTATTTGTTCATAGACAACTTCTTAATAAAATAAAATAAAATAAGAGCACTGCCCAATGGTATCAAAGCCAGAGCTACATAAAAACCTGAGATAGTGAGTACACTATTTGTGGGGCATCTTTGATCGGAAACAACTGTCGGAATCTTGCATTAGGCAATTGCTTTGTTGCAATCCTAAACCCACTTAGGAGCAAACCTGCTTGAAAGTCAGTGGGACTTGGGAGTAAATATTATTAATGTTTATGTCTCCCATCTTTTGCATGGCCTAAATCCACTTTCATCCACGTGACTCTAGGCTGAAGAATGAAGGCACCCACTTAACCAACAGAAAACTTGGCAGACACGCACACACGATTCTGCTTGTGTCTGTGATATATGAAACCACAGGCACTAGCAGAATCAATACTAAGCAAGTATCCATTTGAGTCTGTAGTACCTTCCAAATCCCTGCATTCTGCATAACCATTTCACCATGCCCCCATCTGATGGGAGGTGAAATCATTATCAAGCCAGGTATGGAGATAGTTGACCAAGCTGCTTTGGAATGAGAGCTGACATTATTGTAGTTTGGTCTTGTCTGTCTGGGGTCTCCTTAAACACCTTGCGTAGGGCAGGAGGGAAGAGAAGGAAACTGAGCTCCTAACATATCCTTCCCAAGTTAACATTTTGGGCAGTGATACTACGCACCTTGCCTATTGAAAATGGAAGCTATGGTGGGAAAAGAGCACCACCCTATAAACTGGGGCTGCACTTTTTAGAGGCTCACAACATAACCATGTCTGTCTGTTAGAATGCCAGTAAAAATCTGTAACAGTTTGAGATTAATCAAAACAGCCGATATGGTCCCTCAATCTGCTGGCTTTTTATAACATACTATTAGAACTAGCAGTATTTCTTTTTTTAAAACTTTGGTTTACCTTGATAAGGCACTGCCTGCTACTGTCAACTTTAAAGGTAAACCACAAAGCTGAGAAGACAAGTTACATTTTAAGATGATCCAGAGTCAGCCACACAATATGCAAGTTGTTAAAATTAGGAGTGTTTCATGGCAACAGCCTCTACTTCTATGCTAGGAATAGAATATTCTACATTTCTTTTGCAAGCAGTAGTTCTTGAGGAACTGAATATAGCAGTCAAATTCTTTCATTTTAGATGCAATGTAATACTTAGGTCCTAAGAGCATAGAATTGATGAACAGGAGACTGTCTATTCAGTTATTGAATATCTCCCTGGTTTCCTTGCCCCAAACCCAAATTCAACCCCACACTGCATATACATATACTACATGTAGATGGCTTATATACTGCCTCAAATGTATTGTTCTTTCCTTTTGCTATGAAGCTAGTAAAAGAGTACACCAAGCATGAAATTATGCCATTCTGTTAGGCTAATGGCCTACAAGAATGGAAGTAAATTTTAAATGCATCACACTGTCCTGTGTGAAAAGAATCTCCAGGAATTCATATAGGTAACACAAATGATGGCAATCAGTTACAATGATGATGTCTGGAGTCATAAATCAGAGATATTTGCAAAAGGGTTCAGAGTCTCTGAGCCTATCAGACATTTGTTTACTCTTGGAGGTTTAGATATTCTGCTACATAGGAGGTAACTAGGACATGATGGCTTCTTGATTCCTGTTGATATCTTCTCTCCCTGAAGCATTGCTCCTAAACGCTTGAAAAGTAAGAGTAAACAGGCTGGAGGTGAAAAGGATTTGGTTACAGCCACGAGGGAGCTACATTTGGCAATTTATATCTATATCTATATCTTTAAAACCTTGCCTCTTAAATTCATTTGATACAAAATAATGAGATACATTTTTCATTTCTATGGGATCACTATCAGAAACAAAACTACCAGCATCAACTGATCTGCAACAAGTTAGTACACTGTGCATGGAGGACATAACAGCACATCTAAAATAATAAAGCTTACAGCTCATCATTTTCCTTTTTTTTTCTTTTGCATTTCACATGGTCTATATTTTATTTCCTCTATACTATTAAGCAGCTCCAGTTAATGGCCCCCAAGCAGGTTTGAGAGGAAGCCTAAAGACTTCTTTTCTTGTGGTTCTGCCTCTTGGCCTTTGGTAAGCCCCAGTTCGCTTTCTATCTGCTCAAGCTCTGACTGGTCAAGCAGTTCAAAATCGTCGCCTTCCTCTGTGTCTGTCTCTTCGCTTAAGTTTGGGTCGCCTTGCACAGACTGCAACTGGTCTCTGACAGCTGCGGACACCACCGACGTAACAACATCTCCGGCAACTGCTCTTACTAAGCTGAAAGCCGGGTCGCTGATCAATGGCAAGGAAAGGCCTGCTGCAGAGTGCCCCTCCTTATCCTGCCTGGTACGGCAATCTGATGTGGTAGAGAGATGGTCCTTTTTTCTCTCTTGACGGACAGGGATGCCAATGCTTGAATCGTCGTCATCATTTGTTCCTGCACCGTTTTCCACGGATGGAAATTCTGCGAGATCTTTTGCGAAAGCTTCCTCGTGGCGATCAAAATCTATTGAACAACCGACAGGAGAAGCCATTATCAACAGCTTGTTTCTGTGATATGATGCAACACCAATTTCTATTGAATAAATAAATGTCATGCCCACTTCCAGGAATACTCAAAAACAAAAGTCAGACTGTAAATCAACTTGGATGGACTCCATAAACGGCCAAAATGATTAAAGGTGTAAGACATGGTGCCTACTGGGTACATCAACAATTCCTCCCCAAAGAGACAAAAAGAAAAAGAAAGAAAGAAGACCAAGAGAACAAATCTAGAGAGGTAAATATTAAAGTTATAGATAAAGGGTAAATTTTAAGAAAGGTAATCAACTAAATTTTGCTCAGAGCAAACATATTTAATGAACAGGACTAAGTTAGGGCCATTAGGTTTACTCTGAGTAAAATTTGTTGAATGTTACCCAAGATTTGGAAAGGCTGAAGGCCACTAGTTTAATATAGCACGCAGCTGATCTGTTATAAGTTCATTCAATTGCATTCAGTTTCTTTTTATCATAATCATAATAATTTTATTATTTATGCCCTGCCTATCTGATTGGGTTGCCCCATCCAGGTTACTAATCAGGTCTGCCCTTACTTACCTTCTTCAGTGACTCACAACATCTGATACCCTCAGACCATTTACATTCATGTGCATGCCTTATTCATTCATACAACACACTGAGAAGTGATGACTGATGATACAGTTACCAACATTTGCAAAGCAAATGTTAGCGAACAAATATTTTAGTTAGAATAGGAAAATGTCACCTGTGAGTTGAGGGTGGTGGTGTCTAGTCTTCTACCACTATAGTTTTAACACAAAGGTATCTACTTAAGATACCTTTTTGTGCATAAATCATTAAATGTAAAAGGAGAACTAAAAATAGACTTGAGAGGGACAGAATTAAATAAAAGTGCTTTCATATGCAACCTCCCCCCTACAAATTTGGAAACAAGATGCACGCACCATCAGATGTGTCTGTTTGTGGAGTGTTGCCCTCAGAAAGATTGAAAGTCCCATTGTCAGTCCAAGATACCTCCGATATATCAGTATCTGATACAGACATCTCTCTGGCCACAACTGTAGGGCTAACCTGTATTTTGAAAAAAAGAAAACTGTCAAGCATGGCACTCTTAAATTCTAGGCTAAACTGAATAACTACACATTTAAAACTTACACCATGTGAATTCAATCAAGTTAACTCACTTAAATCCACTGATTTAATTGAAATAGTTGGATTCAAGTTAGCTATGTCCACTGATTTCTATGAGTCTACTCTAGGTATAACTTAGATAGCATCTCGAGAAACTCTTGCTTTATATACTTGCGGAATGTAAAGTTCTAACTACAAGATACAAGGAGAAAAAAACTGCAATTATGCAGCAACCATATTTTATTGTTGCTTCATTGTATAGTAATGTATTTTAACATTTGGACGAGCACAATTCAAAGTGTTGGTGCTGACCTTTAAAGGGAACCAGGCAGAGGGCCTTCTCGGTAGTGGCGCCCGCCCTGTGGAACGCCCTTCCAGCAGATGTCAAAGCGATAAACAACTACCTGACATTCAGAAGACATCTTAAGGCAGCCCTGTTCAGGGAAGTTTTTAACGTGTGATATTTTACTGTATTTTTGGTTTCTATGGAAGCCGCCCAGAGTGGCTGGGGAGGCCCAGCCAGATGGGCGGGGTATAAATAATAAATTATTATTATTATTATTATTATATTAAATGCACAATACAAGGGATTGTGAGGTGCTCCAGAAGGCTGTCTCCATACTGATTGAACGGGCACTGAAATGGCAATACTGTTCAATGCAAGTGTAAAGTAATGCACACTGCGGCAAACTTTCCTCCCCTATCTTTATATATACACATTAGACGGAATGCATAAACAAGTGAGGGCTGTGTGCTGTAGGGAGAGGTGGAATGGGCTTGTGGGATCCGGATCCCCCATCACATATACACTTTGAATGTCAGCACAGGACTGTTAATGCCAATATCTGCACCCTCCAGGTGCTGAAGAAGTAGACACATAAGTTTGCATTGTGATGAAATCTTTTTGTGTTGCAAAGGGTCCATAATACAAGGGCAGCTGTACAAATCAGAGCCCTGTTTCTAATTGCTTGATGAGTTGTGACTTTCATTTCCACGGACTGAAATTGATTGTGGTGGTACCTGTTGTGTTCACAAGACAAACCTCTCATGCCAAAAAGCAGGTTCAGAGAAAGAATGCCTCCTACATTACTCTAGGCTGCAGTCCTGTGAGCCCTCACTCCTGAGTAAGTTCTACTGATCAGAGTCTGACATGCCTCTGAATAAACAGGCTCAGGCTGTAGAAACTTCTTAAAATTCCAGCACACCTGGAATTTGCAGCAAAGAAGTAGAAAGGAGTGGGCAACGCTTGAGAAATGTTTCTCTTTCTGGACAACGAAAGCACAACAGTCAATATGCTTATTTGTAGTCTAGAGACTCAATATAGAACCAACCTACCTTAGGACACAAGGCTGATACATCTAGTTCACTGTTGTCATCTGCCAACTTTGTTCTTATAATTTCTGGAAAAGATTACAAACCAATTAGCTTTCCATTACCTACTTTGTTTGTCAAACATTCCTAGGTTTTGTTGTTGTAGCTAACAAAGAAATAAAGAGATTTATGTGCATAAATTCTACATGTGTAAAATTTATTTATATAGCATTTATTTATTATATATTTCTACACAAAGTTTTACATGCACACTGCTTTACAATGCATACATAGTAAAAATATTCACTTTCCCAAGATACACAACATTGTTTGGTTTTGAAACTTTACTCTTATCATTCATGGGAAGCCTAAGTTTTTTTGGTATTTGCTTGTATTTGTGGATAAA